TCCTTTTCCTTCCCTCGACTGCATTCAAATCCCCAAGCATGCCACTGGGCTGTTAACATTGTGACATGAAAGCAGCATCTAATTTGTGGTTCCCATTTGCCTCCAGCCTCCTCACTCTGGGAAACCGCTGGATAAAGAATTCCTGTTTTAGTACGGAATAAATAGCTTAAATGGGGAAAAAAAGGAATTCAGAATTTTTATTGTTCCCATACAACTTACTGACATGCACAAACTCCTGATCTGTAACATGAACCAAGGTATTCGCAACATACTGAACATTGAAAACATTAGTATGTTGACAAATGATGGAGCAAAATGACAATAACAGCTTCTGCCTTTTAGTTGCTGAAGGCTGATAACATGGTTCAGAAACAACCTTCAGAAATCCGACCTAACGAATTAAGACATGTACTTTTAACCTTCTAAGGGCAAGAGAGTAAGTGTCTTTTATCAATCTCTAACACAGTATACACATATGTATTGTACACAAGACATTATTGCATGTTTCATAGAAAAAGTAGAAAAAATATTCTAATGCGTTAAATACAGCAGAACCTCACAGTTTTTGAAATGAAAAATATTTAGATATGTGTTAAATACTTTGTTTAAAGACTAAGCCCTGTAGAAGTTTTTTGTGAACCGTTAATACTGCTGAAATGAGAAACCGTAAAATAAAATACTGAAAGTGTATGCATAGGAATAATCAGTTCAGCAAGCCTTGCAAAACGTACTAGATAACAATTATCCTTTTCCTGGAATCAAGCAGGGAGCTGTTTCATAACAAAGTCTTGTTATTAAGATTGGTATTTGGCAAACGTTCCTTTGCTTTTTTGAAAAACAAGAGCTTTTTATTTCTTTCTGGTTCTAATCTTTGTGCCAAGTAACTAGGAGCAAAATATAAAATGGGTAAGAGGCAGCTATAATGTTCTGTCTTCACTTCACAGCTTCTCAGCTACACGTTTTTATAGAATTCCCTTTTTAAAGTGTTAATTAAAGCATAAGTATTGAAGCATATCTGTAATACTGTTTAAACAGTGTGTGGCACAGAAATACATGACATATAGCAGAACCTCGAATCCCAGAACTGTGACATAAATCTGCAGTGCCAAAACAGTTTAAAAGGTTTAAGTCTAACCGAACAGAAGATGTCCAATAAGTTTGACGATATTAACGCTTTAACAGTTTCCTGACTCTGAAGTATTGCAGTTTTGCCCTGCTTAAAATATCAATCGGTCTAGCAAATGAAAAATTTGAATACAGCAATTCCAATTTTAGTTGTGGCCCAGCCACTCATACACTATACTGACACTGCTACTAATGGTGCAGTTATTCCCTTCTCACGGTATCTGGGTGCTGATAAAGTTCTAGTTCACGAAGGCTGGAGATGAGAGGCATGACCGCTGAGAAAAGCTTTGGAAGCTGAAAATTAAAACCAGGGGGACAGAGGATGGGGAGGGATTTATATAATTCTCCAAGTCTTAAATTTTAGCCAAGCTAATGGTTCTGTGCTGCTAGAGCTGATTTCCTTTTTATGTTCTAGCTTGATATGACTGTACGGTCATGGAGAGATCACATGTGTCTTTTTACTACAGAAATTTTTTTATCAGTAACTTTTAGCCCATCTATTTACCAGAGATAATTCAGACGCTTTACAGAGTGGTTTTCTTTACTTATCTGCTTTAGTCAAAAGCATTAACAATATAGTCTTGAAATGTAAATAATGGTAGTGATGTAGAGCAGGTCTACTCTGAGTGAGGAATACCGGTACGAATTTATGGGCTCAGTCTTGCAGAACCGCAAATACTATGCTCACTGGCAATTTGGAGTAGTTTCCTTATCGGCAGTACCACCGCTTCTTCCGCAGCGCCCTGACCTTCCATCCTCTTTCTTTTGTCTGTGAGTCCACAGTCTTAAGTTTTCCAAGCTGTACTACACAAGACAGATTCCAAAAGAGTTGGCATCAAGAGCAGCAATGACATAGGTAGCTTCCAACTAGTTTTCCCACTAAAAGTCCATATCCATGCCTGAGAAAAGCAGTCTCATTTGGTACCAGAGACAACAGCCATACACAGAAGTGTGTACACACATGCTGTCCACAAATCTATTATGACTTACTGAGTGATTTCGGCACATTATTCCTCTTCTGCTCCAATTTACACAAACATATTTGCATATAAATAATAGATTTTGAAAAATACCAGGAATGATTAAGAGAGTTTTCCAGTTTTACACTGCTTTACTGCAGGTTTAGTTCTGCTAGAATATGCAAGCATTTATTATTTTATCCTGCCTTTCATCCCATTAAACGTGCTGCTGGGCTGCACAGTTTCCTCCTGCTCTAGTGACTCCTAACTCTGTGCTTCCAGCTGTCAAGGGTGAGTCTTCACACTTCTTCCACTTAGTCTGTTGTTATCCAGAAGAACAGCTTTGCTTGGTTCCTCTTCCTCATTTCTACCTTCTACTCGGGCAAGGCTGCTGATGACTACAGAAGCAGATGGCAGCCAAGGAAGGGCAGTAGCTACCCACCTTCCAAGGGCTCTAAGCCCCACAGGTTTGTCAAGATACGTAACCGCCTTCAGACAAAACGCTCTACTTCAACATGAGCCTCTCAAAGGGAGAGGGTGGAAAATCTTCCAGAAGCACCTGAAAAGAACAAGTTGCACCACGCTCCACGAAAGGTAAGTTCAGAAGCCACTCGTCAGAAAGCAAACCGAGTCCCCAGACAATTACGTTCTAGTACGGACAGACAGCGGGAATTTCACAGAGGGTGTGCAGTCAGATATTCTGCCCACTACAACAGGGGTAAGAAAATATATGAACGAATTACATCTTAAACACAGGCATAAAATAATACAACACTTCCAATTGCTTCCAACCTCAAGTACCAGAGAAAAGATCTTCCAATCTCAGAAAAACATATTTCCAAAAATAAAATCCATCAGAACGATTAGGATGAACAGCTGAACTATTTTACCTTCTTTTATGACAGACAGACTTGTTTGCCATGATCACGTTGTATACTCACAAATATTAAAAACATTTTATTTCTTTTATGTTACAAGCCTTTCACACCAATCTAAAAAATTACCAGTTGCCCAGACTTTCAAGTTATGGTGTATAGATGACATTCCCACGTAATTTAGTTTAAACTTCAAGCTCAGGACACTAGAAAACCCCAAATCCAGCCAGCTTTCAGAGGACAGGACAAGTGTGGCATTATTGCAGTCTGTCTTCTTTACACACTCCAATCCACAATGATATACCAGGCCCACATTCTTTTAATATTAGGTCACTGACAAATGTTAAGCCTTGGGCTTAAAAACCTGACAAAACCTGCCGTGCTGAAACAATTGGTTACCTGCCCAGAGCTGCAAGCATTTGTGATACAGCTTGCAAAAGCTTTCACCTCGTCTATCTAAAAACATCTTTTTCGCCCTCAGACTTAAAATTATAACAATATTTAAATGCATATTTTTAAATACAAAGAACCAAAATGAAAGCTATTTTGACTACACACTGAATTTAATCAACGTATCATATGAGAACTTGCATTTTAAATAACCCTGTTAAAACATGCACATATTCTAAAACTGGATGGATTCCAAGTCAGCCTTGTAAGAAAAGTATCTGGAAAAGGAGCTTTTGTGCAGATTTTAGGCTCAAAATATATTAAAATTAGAGCGTGGAACATGTAAGATTTAAGTTTTCATCTTTTCTTAACATTTAATCAAGTATGGGATGGAAAAATCATGTCTGACTGTAAGCAGTTCCAACAATTAGGATTTTTTCCACTTGTAAGAGCAATAACTGGCAGAGGCAAGCAGACTTGCACATTATATTATTAACCTTATTTTCAGCTGCTTTCACCTTAAGGAAAAAAAACTTTATTCATTTTGACATTTTCCATGTTGGATATTTGTCTCGGTCTCATATTCTCAGAAGTTTAAAATTAGTTTGTACATTTCATTGAGACAAAATGCATACAATTGGCCGAGATATATTTGTAGCTCCAAGCTCTAAAGCAAGGATGCAGATGTTGAACAGTAGGGAGAAGGGTAACTTTTGTTATTCCAATGAAAAAACATCAAATTTGGCTCAATTACAACCCCCCCCCCCCAAAAAAAAAAAAAAAAAAACATCCTTTTCATAAATACTTGGAAGTGTCTTGTATTGGGCAATCAGATTTTGAGAAAACTACTCCTGGACTGAGAGTGATCTTGGCCAGTACCAGCAGGCTGAAGGTGGCTTTCCTTGCAGTTGTTGGCTCTTGTAGCTGGCACTACTGTCACTGAACCTCCAAAACTAAGTAATATAAAGAGGAAAGTTTTTATGAAGCGGAGGAGAGAAAAGATTAAAACCTGGAACAATCCAAAATTTCTCAGTCCTAGCACAACTTTGAAGTTCGGCAGATATATACACTGAAGACACATGGGGTCAACTCACTGAAACAGCTGATCTGACAAAGAAAAAAAAGTCAGTATATTTATGAACAGAGTTGTTGAAAGTATTTTTCAATGTGCCTTTTTGAAGAAAAATGACTTTCGATTAGACTATGCATATATACCAGCTCTTTCAAGGCTAGCTATCTCTGCATTGTTTTATCTCTCATAATGCAGGCACGCACTGCGTCTTGCAAAAGTGTTAATGAGCTTCCAAACAATCCCCAAAAAGAAAGAAAAAATGACCTTTCTTATTTAGGAAGAATAAATTCATTCCAGGAACACTCATGTAGCACTGCAAAACTAGTTTCCTGACTTAGTTTCTTCCAAACAATAAATCCTAAGTAAGAATGAAATAAATAATTTCAACCAATTACACTATTCATACGGGCTTGCCTGATTTAAGCTGGCAATACATCAAAAAATTAACATGGGAAAGCACTGGGGAAGAAATTTGGGTCAGTTTCCTTTTTGATCTTCCGCTTTCACAGCAAAATGAAATGAAGTATTCACAGGAATAGCTACACGTATTGAGAACTAACAAAAATTTAATCTGCTTACCTTATCCTGGCTATATGTTGCTGCACAGGCTGATGCTGAAAATGGTCAGGCCATTGATGGTGAAGGCAGAAGGATGGTGAGGGTTGAAGACAGCATGCAGGCTGATATATGGGTGTATGTTTTTGGCAAATAGATGCTGAATACTCAGTATGTGGCTGCATGCAGCACGAAGTCATAGGAGACGGTGCTGAGCTGCCAACTACTGAATGGCATTCTTGCTTATTATTATGGCTACTTAAAGGATGATGGTATGGGCAAGGGTGGCAGCATTGCGACAACATCTGCTGAGTTCTTTGGTTGTCTAAAGGCAGAAAAGATGGTTTGATTGTACCATTAAGTTGCAGGCAGCCATTTGGACTCGCTTTTGTTCTTGGTGTTTCCTTGGATGGGAGTTGCTGGATGGCGGCATCTCCATCGCTAGCCGCAACGATACCTGGGCCCGTAGCGCTTGACAAGATGCTGCCGTTGCTGAGAACCACAGAATCACTGACGCTGCTCATAGCCATGCTCCCCGTTCTTGATGGGTATGCGATGTTCCTGAACAAAAATAAAGCAAAGTTAGCAAACGTGCAACTTTTTCTGATGCCCAGAAATAAGTTTAGATTTAAATCAGTAAAAAGCTCCTCTACTTTTTATCTTTCACAACACAGGAAAATGGGAAGGAGTCACGCACGCTGATAGGAACATTTCTGAAAGACTTTTTGGAAGACTTGAAAGACAAGTGTTTACTTGTTTGACAAAAAGTTGAAGTGAAGTTACATAAACGCTGGGTGATTAAACCAAAATATAAGTCAAATGAACAGACATTTGACAGTCTCTGGGCCAGAGCCAACACGTAACGTTTGAGATACAGGGGAACAAGCTCATTTTGCACAATATAAAGACTAAGTAGAAAACCACTATTCATGAAAACAGGTTTCAGCGTAAACTGCAAAACCATCCAAACCTTGCGCTGCAGTTTGCCTATGCACGCTGAAAGCCATCAAGAGGCAGGACTGCACAGCAGAGCATTAAATAACGATCAGTGTGGCGGTTTCAGTAACCTCCTTCCCTAGCCTCCCACTACTAGTGAAAACCAGGCTTATTAATATTTTTGAATAGGTTCTTTTAAAATGCCTTATTTAAATAAATCAAAACACTTCAGCAGATATCTGTCAAGATTTCCAGACGATGGACTAAGTCTGTAACAACAGCTCAAAACTGCACTGTTAGGAATACTAAAAATACGTTACGTAACCAGCAGGTTTTCCCCAAACTTTAAAAAAAAAAAAAAAAAAAAAAAAAGTGTCTGAAAGACTCCTCGGATCCCATTATTGCTGACTGAGAAGCTCACCCTTCACAGGGACAGGTATCCCAAAGGCAACTGAGAAATGCACTGTGCTGTAAGTGTTAGTTTAGAAACATAAGGGGTATTAAAGGTTTTCTCCTCATATCTTGCATTTTTCAAGCAAACTAAATGAATTAAAACTATTTATGCTGGAAAGGTGACCGCAGAGTTTGGCGCAAAACCAAAACCAGCCTGAGGTGCTCGCAACAGCTAATTTCCCTGTGCTAACTACAATCGTGCTTTAGTAAGATTTGAAAATTGTTAGAGATTTATTTTGATGATATAATTTTGATAAATAGCATGAAAAGCGAAACATCACTCTCATCTGGGATAAGAAGTTGCTTCAAAACTGCATAGGTTTTTGGGGGAAGAAGAAAGAAGAGAGCGAAGAATGAGGAAGAAAGAACACTAATTATAGACTATTCAGAAGAGTAACCCAGCACTTGCTCAAAAAAGAGAATCAGTTAATTACCGCTGTTTTGGCTAACTCAACGTTACCCTTTTAATACTGATTTTAATTAACAACATTCCAAGTCTAAATTGCAAGGCTGACATTATAGGCACTGGACTTTGCAGAAAGACACAACATACAGATTAAGACAGATAAGTAAGAAAGTTCCTAACGAGTTTTCTTCCCTGTTACCTTTGCTGCGTGCTCAGAGGGCTAAGCCTGCGGGGCCAGCTGAGCTATTTGATTGCCTGAATGCTAATGTGGGGCAGAAAGTGCTTTGCGCAGAGGAATGCTTCCCCAGCAGCCCCCCCCCAATCTCGCTCCTAGCCATAACTAAATCCTCAGCTTCTGAAACAAAAAGAAAATTAACGCTGGGCTATTTGTTCTAGATCGTGCGCAGAGCCAGATCCCCCGTGTCGGCAGTCGCATTTAGATAACTAGTCGGAACAGGAGAAATTGCTGCTAAACAAGAATATTTTCTCCAGAGCGCAATTCCTCACATTTTTTCTCAGCATCCCCTCCGCCGGCCCCTGGCAAGTCGAGCCCATTGAAGACTTTTCACTAAGCACAGAGAGTAAATTCAAGTGGCTGGCTAATGTTTGTCTCAGTCTGAAGAGACATATTAGTTATGTGAAATACTTCTGTGTTTGAACAGCCTGGTTTTCTCCCAAACTGTAGGCAGCTTCAAAGAGCCTGCTGGAGAGGACAGAGCAAGAGCTGGACATCAGGAAAGAGAAGGCTCCTATTGAGGCGACGGGCAGCGTTTTAGGAATTTCTGCCTGATTATTTTCTCACTCGCTCACATAACAGATACGATGCAGGGTGATGACATTATATTTCTTTTTCTAAATGAGATGCACCCATGTCATTGCTTGAGACCGCTGTAAACTTAAAATAACAATTCCTCAGATTATTATTTTAATTGTGTAAAAAAAAAAAAAAAGTATGGCGATACTGCGAACTACTCTTCAAGAAGACATAAGCATCACTTTCTTGCTTTAAACCCAAAACATCTGTAGCATCCACGAGTGAGATAACACAGCATAATTTATAGCAAAAGTTTCAAGTCCCTTCACAAAGAAAAACAAGCTTTTATGCACAGGGCATACATGCATCACACATATACGCAAGCTAACCCGGATTCCTGGAAACTGGGCACTCACAGCAGTACGGGAACGCAGGCTTGGGATATTCGGTGTGCCCCTCCTCAACACGGATATGGGAGCTTTAACTTTTGCTCCTAACAGGCCAGCAGCCTCAATTTAATATGAGCAGAGGTAAAATGCTTTATTTTCAACAGATGCGATAGCCATCTGCACGTCTCTGAGTTTAAACACAGCCTTCAGAAGGACTCTTTAGAAACCAGTGAATTCAAAGAATGGCCAAAGACGATCACCATCAGTAACAAAGCACTTGAGGGATATAAGTCTGCCTTTGTTCTCTTGCTGAACAGCCTGTTCATGAAATATTTCAAGCTATAAAAACTTTAATAGATGAAGCCAATTCATTCTTTCTTCCTAAGCCCTGAAAAACTTGTGAATTTTGTCCATTTTCACAGCCTTTGAGCAAGGCTTGGAAGCATCTGCTTACCTCGAAGCTCTTTCACAGCCATATTAAAATAAGCAAGACCACTTTGCATGCTTAAGGCAGCCATGTGATTAAGTACTTTGCTCAATCACAGCTACAAAGAATTAGGACTCAGATTAATTCTCAAAGTAAAATAAGAGTTGGACAGTCTGTTTTCACTTAGTTTGACAGTTTTTCTTTTTTCAAAGAAGTGTGAGATGGCTGATGTCACTTGACAAGTCTAAGGTATCTAAATTTTGTTTCATAGATATGTAAGGGTATTAAAATTATGTTACAATTGTATTTAGTTAAAATTAAGACATTTACATTACAAAATATTACAAATTAATGTACTAGGATATTCCATTACATTTGTGTCACACTATATAAGCAAGTACAACTCCACTGACACCAAACCTTTACTTGCAGTTCTCACACCAATACATATTCTTGTAACATATTCTTATTTCTCTGCAATATTTCAACTCAGCTATTACAACTGCAGTGACTGGCAACTTACTGTGAAATGTAATGGCCCCAGGAAACATTCACCTCAGAATCTCAGCTTTAGAGGATGCACAAATAGGCAACTTAAGGCAACAAATGAAACCACAAAAATAAAATAAGGTTTTAATAGGCCGTGGCCTTGGGAAAACCAAAAAGCTGTGCATTATGAAAAAAAATCTAAAAATAGGAGTCTTCCGAAAGGCCATCTTTGAGAATTCTGAATTGCTTCACAGCTTACAGTTTATTTTTGCTGCATTCCTCAGAATGCTTTAGGATTTATATTCCCTAATAATATAAATGTTCATTTACTACTCTGGCCACAACTGAAAGGATTTCTCCTTGATTTAAGTTTTATTAAAAAGACAATTATCATCCCAGTTTACAAACGAAGGCTTTGAAGTGATGGACGCATATTCTGCATAACGCCGTTATGGATAATACAGGTTTCAGTACAAACAACCCTAGTTAACAGAAGATTAAAGAAAATCTTTTAATCTACACGTTAAAACATACCACACACAGACATCCACCTCTCTCTGGACACATCTGAAACATTAACATCAATTCAGAAATTACGCCAGCTGGAATACTAATAAAAAAAAAACTAGAAGAAAAACTAGAAAAATTCCAGAAAACTACAATTATCTTTAATTACTGTATGCCCGATAACAGCAACTGCTAAGAAAGCACGTTAAGTCATTCAGTTCAAAACAAGAGTTTGGAACAGTGTCATATCTGGAAAGCACCACAGTACGCAGAGGCAACGCTACGGAGAGACAGTTTTATGGAGTAATCCCTCTATTATGTGCAGAGCTAACGACGAGCGCAGCTTGCCCGGCAGACATCTGCCATCTGCACTGCAAGCCCTTCAGGAAATAAAGTAATGCTGTACCACACTGAAACGATGTAGGATTTTGTGTTCCCTAACTAGCATGTTCTTTTTAGATCTGGATTAAGTTCACCTGTTCTTTTGGCTGCAACCGAAAGAATTTTTCTGTGCGTTAAAATTGCTTTAAAAAAAAAAAAAAACCACCACCCCAAAACAGACTTAAGAAACCAGTGGTTCAGCAAAGCCCATCTGGATTCATAATGCCTGCAACTGAGAATGACACAAGCGCAAACACAAGAGGGAATGACGTAGTGGAAATTTAGTACAACCCAGTATATTAGTATAGATCTTTTATAGATCTTTAGAACAAGTCAGAAAACAGCTAATTGGTTTATTTAACCGCATAAGAAAAAACATACATGCTAAACATCTTGCACTAAAATAAAACCTTAATTGGCTCATAAGACTTCACATTTTTCATTTAATGGGACAAAGTTCAGGCTTCATCTGAAAGTTATCTAAAGCCTTTCAGCTGCAGTCAGCATCCTGCCACCCAGCCAATCACACCGATTCAGGTTTTGGGGACCTTTCAGACCTGCCGACTGCAAAGCGTCCCGGTTCTGACACGAGCGCAACGTCTGAAGTAACGAAAACACCTCGCCACGCCAAAAAGCTCTTCTAAGGCAGCTTAATTACAAAAGTTGCGCCTTCTTGAAATAAGCAGGGTTTAATAATCCCATCGCAACCACTAAGCCTCCTTCCAGATAAAGTATTATCATGGCCTTACAGTCCCTTAAGCCCCCACAAGTTTTTACGGCAGCGAACGGGATCCGTAGTCTCAGTCTGTCGACTCCGAT